TACTTCGTTTCCAGTGCTGAATTGGTAAACGGGGTTTGACCTCACCCTACCGGGACAAATAGAAGACCTAGGTTTTAGTCCCAGCTTGGTTATGAGCAAATCTTATGATTTAGGGAAAATCTCTTCCTGTGCTTGGACTTCAGTTTTCTCATCTGTGAAGTGGCAATGTCCATTTGTTTTTTCATTCTACAAATATTAATTGAAGGCCTTCCCTGCAATAGGTTCTGTGCTGGACATGGTGGGGGTGGGGGCTAGTTATTCAAAGCTGAGCAAAAATAGGTATTGTTTTTACTTAGAGTTATGGTTTAATGGCTGCATGATCTTAAAAGTCTCCCTAACTGTTGACAGCCTATAATTATAAGTTTTATTATTTGGTAAAAATATATTATAAAAGGCTTAAACAAAAGCAAAAATATTTGTTGTGATTTTTCATTGTTTCTTCTCAATACCTAGAAGAATGCCTGGCTCATTGCAAATGCTTGGAAACAAGTTTTTAATTAATTATATTTCAAATATTTTGAAGCATTTGAGGAAAGACTATGTAGATACTGAAGCTCTTTTAATAGAAAAGAGCCGTGACTTCCTGTTACAGTCAACAGATGTGTGTTGAGTTTCACCTTTTCTCCTAGGCCCAGGCAAAGGATGACTAGAGAAGGTGGGGGAATTTTGGAGGATTTAACCTGATTGGACACCAATAGTGGACAAAAAGTATGGCTGCTTCTCAGAGTCACCTAAATTTTTGTTCTTTTGTTGTCCCCTTTTGAATTCTGTTCCCCTCATTCCACAAATATATAATTCTTCCTGCCTCACCCAGCCTACTTCCACCTTTTTTATTTTGAATGTTTTAATTTTCCTCAAATCATACATAATAGCTCCCAATTTTTTATTTTAGGAAGAGAGTTTTGAAGTATTATCTTGCTCCTACAGCTAATCCTTCTATGTGATTCTAAACAGCTTAAATCACTATTCTGTTCTTTTATAGTTTGAAGAGAGCACTAAATATGTTGTTTCTTAGAGCTGATCACAATAGTAGACCACCCTGGGCACACCTGTAGTAGCCAAAAGTTTGGGCAAGGCTGGGAAACTAAGTAAATTCTCTAAATAGATTTGAAATTGCTATGGAAGGCCCTCACTGATATAAATCTGGAAGCATTCTTCCGTCGGAAAATTACATGATTCATTAGCATACTAAATTTCTGTAATCTATGAGGAAAACTGCTAGTACATAAAGTATTATGATGATCAGAATTGAATTAGTTTCTTCCATAATCTTTTGCTGGAAAATATGATAGGTATGCTGGTTCTTTGAAGGTTAATAATGGTAGTTGTAGAAGGCTATGGCCTCAAAAAATCTTTATGACAAGTAGCAAGTAGCCTTACTAAAATCACTACAATTTGGAAATCACTTATAGTCAGTTACAAACCCCTGAAATAAATCAGACTTTAAAACTTTGGTAAAAAATTAGTCATAAAATAAAATTTTTCATCATAGCTACAACCTTATTTACAAACCAGCCTCATTCGATTATAAAAACCTCATCTATTTGCAAGGAGTTATACATTCTCTCTTACTGAAGAGATTTTCAAAATTATTGTTAGATAGTATTCCAAGGAAGGGATTCCAAAAATATATTTAGCAGCATTGGTCTTATTTGGCTGTAAATGTTCAACTTTATATGAATATAAACATATAGCTGACTGACCTGAGAGAGGCGTACATTTTTATGAACATCTTTAATGGTCTTCTAAAAGAACCTCATTTCTGGGACTACATCAAATTAACGAGTTATTGCACAGCAAAGGAAACCATCAACAAAACAAAAAGACTGCCTACTTAATGGGAGCACATATTATCCAATGATATAACCAATAAATGACTAATATCCAAAATGTATAAAGAATTATAACCCAACACCAAAAAAAGTCCTATTAAAAAGGGGGCAGAGGACCTGAATAAACACTTCTGCAAAGAGAACATATAGATGGCCAACGGACATATGAAAAGATGCTCAACATCATTAATCATCAGGGAAAGGCAAGTTAAAACCACAATGAGATATCACCTCACACTTGTCAGAACAGCTACCATCAATAAAGCAACAAACAACAAGTGTTGTAGAGGTTGTAGAGATAAGGGAACCCTCACTACTGTTGATGGGAATGCAGATTAGTACAGACAGTATGGAAAACAGCATGAAGTTTCTTCAAAAATTAAAAATGGAACTGCTTGATTACCCAGCAATTCCATGTCTGGGTATATATTGAAAGAAACCCAACACACTAGTTTGAAAGAATATATGCACCTCTTTTTCATTGCAATGTTATTTACAATAGTCAAGATATGGAAACAACGCAAGTGCCCATCAATAGATACGTGGATTAAAAGTTGTAGTACATACGTACAATGGAGTGTTACTTGGGCATAAAAAAGAACAAAATCATAGACCTGGCCAGGTGGTTAAATTGGTTGGAGCGTTGTTCCATGCACAAAATGTTGCAGGTTTGAACCCCAACAGGGCACATACTTAGGCTGAAGGTTCAGTTCCTGGTGGAAGTGAATACCTGCAGCAACCGGTGGATGTTTCTCTCTCACATTGATGTTACCCTCTCTATCTTCCTCTCTCTTTAAAACAAATAAACATATCCTTGGGTGAGGATGAAAAAAAGAACAAAATCTTATCATTTTTTACAGCATGGGTGGACCTAGATAATATTATGCTAATTATAATAATTAAGACAGTGAAAGACAAATACCATATGATCTCACTTATATGTGGACTCTAAAGAACAAAATATCAGGTTGGCCAAAATGTTTAGGTGTTTTTTTTTCCTTAACATAAAGACACTTTTTTTTTCATTTTCACCTAATTTTATGGATTTGGATATTTTGAGTTTGTCAGCTATTTCCTGCATGCTGTAACATTGATTGTTCTCAATTAATGTCTTCATTTGATCGTTATCAACTTCAACTTGTCTATCTGACTGTGGAGCATCGCCCAGCAAGAAATCTCCAGCATGAGACTTCACAAACCACTTTTGACACATTTGATCAACCACAGCACCTTCTTCATACACTGCACAAATCTTTTTTTGTGTTTCAGTCGTGTTTTTATCTTTCTTGAAGTAAGAAAGCATAATATGCTGAAAATGTTGAATATTTTCTTCCACAGAGAGAACAGAATGATGGTTGTTAGAGAGAGGAGAGAGGGGTTAGGGGGCTGTGCTAGTTACAAAATAGTAATGGAGATATAAAGTATAGCATAGGAAATATGGTCAGGAATATTGTAATAACAAGCTATTATGTCAGGTGGGTAGTGGAAATATTGGGGGGATCACTTTGTAAATTATATGATTGTCCAACCGCTATGCTATACACCTGAAACTAACACAAAATAACTTGAATGTAGACTGTGATTTAAAAATATAAATAAATAAATAAATAAATAAATACCCCCATTTCTCTAGTCTCAACATCTTTTAATTCTTAGGAAGTTCTGCTTACAAAGTTGACCCTTGGCTGGCATCTAGGAAGTTGGATTTTGAGAGGGTTCTCATTGTTCCCTTACCTAAGAGTATTCACTGTGCCTAAACTATGCAGCAATGTGGTTTGTGTTGGATGTCTATTTTCCTTCCTGGTGTCTGGATTTGGTTACTGCTAGGCAGCAGGGTCCTACATGACCAGCCCCATAAAAACTCCAATTCTGTTAGCTCAGGTAAGCCTCCCTAGTAGATGACATCTCAGACAAGTCACAGTTCACTGCTGGAGGAATTATGCAATCCTATCCTCTGTGACTATTAAATGCTTGTGGGGAGAGGATTAGTGGATGCTGTGCCTGGTTTCCTCTGAACTTCACCCAAACAATTTTTCCCTTTGCTGATTTTGCTTCGTATCTTTTCACTGTGATAAATCACATCCACGAACAGGACTGTACATTGAGTCTTGCAAGTCCTCCTAGCAAATCATTGAACTTGTGGGTGGTCTTGGGAACACTTGATACAGGAAGTTCAGGTTAGTAATATAAGTGATTTCAGGGAAAATGAATTCTCTTTCCACTAGCTGGCATATTATAAACTATCTTGTAGCATGAAATCAATTGTCTGAGTTCCTTAGGTAAACCAGACAGAAGAGTTATTAGTAAAGTCCCCTGCTTCCTGCAAGGAAAAAAGTGATACTATAAGGACACAAAGCACACTTGCCTTATATTTTTGCTTTCAAGAAATCAAAAACTGCTGCAATGGTTTGAAGAGGTTAGTTATTTGTCTCACATAATAAAAAAAATGTCTGAGGAGGACATGTCCAAGTGATATGGTCTCTCAGTAACAGATTTTTCTTATCTTCTTGCTCCACCATCCTTAGTGTACAGTTTTTGTCTCCATGATCACAAAATAGCTGTTACACTGCCAGGTATGTTTGATGCTTCAGTCACCAAGAACGGGAGAAAGTAAAGGGCAAACACTTCCTCTGGATTCCTCCCCAGAGAGTTCTAATTGGCCATCACTGTGTTACATCGACATCCTTAGCTTTAAGGGGAGCTGGAAATTCAAGTATTTCACTTTCCAGCCTTTATAATACTAGAAATAAGGGATGAGAGAGTTGGGATGATGGTTCAATGATCCACATAAATTATCTGTCATAATTACTCTGACACTAATGGAAAAAGATACACAATTTATGCTGATTTCCTATGTTAAGAGTTTATATATGGATATTTTGACTATAAGCCTGAGATTAAAGGCCATGGTTATTTCTGTGTGGACTCCTTGCTCGCAATATCATAGTTTTGTTCCTGAGCTCTTTATGTGTGTCATTGAACAAACTTCTGGAGGTAAACTCTTCTGAACTTGGAAATCATATTACTATGATAGCAATTTCTTTTTATCTTAAAGCTCTAGTGAGATGGTGTGAAGAGGAAAAATGCATTGCACTATCATATGAACAGATGAGATGAAATACTAACACTTCTCCTGCTCCCCACCCCCATCTTGTTTTTTTCCCTCAGAAGCTGTAGATGAAACCAAACCTAAGGAAAGTGCCCGGCAGGAGGAGGATAAAGGAGAAGAACGTGAGGTGGACCAAGAACATGCCTGAACTCTAAGAAATGGCTTTCCACGTCCTCACTCTCCCCTCTCCGGGACCCTGTCTCTCCCTCCCTCTTCTCAGCTCCACTCTGAAGTTTCCCTTCCTGACCTGCTCACATCCGTGAGTCCGTCCTCTCCCACCCACTAGCCCTCTTTCTCTCTATGTGGCAAACATTAAAAAAAAAAAAAAGCAGGAAAGATCCCAAGTCAAACAGTGTGGCTTAAACATTTTTTGTTTCTTGGTGTTGTTATGGCGAGTTTTTGGTAATGATGATCCAATCATTTTGGGAAATTCTTGCACTGTATCCAAGTTTTTTGAATTGGTGCGCGTGGCCCTGTGGGAGTCCACTTTCCTCTCTCTCTCTGTTCCAAGTGTGTGTGCAATGTTCCGTTCATCTGAGGAGTCCAAAATATGAAGTGAATTCAAAATCATTTTTCTTTTTCTCCTTTTCAATGTGATGGAATGAACAAAAAGAAAAAAAAATCAAAAACCCAGTTTGTTTAGAAAATAAATAAAGCAAATGTGCCAATTAGCGTAACTTGCGGCTCTAAGGCTCCTTTTTCAATCTGAATATTAATAAATCATGAGAATAATCAAACTCCAATGGCTCCGTGTTTCTCTTCCACTTCTCACTGACCTGATACATCTCTAACTGGGGTCTTACATTTTATCTCGTTCTTGACACCAACAACCCTGATAAAGACAGATGAAGCCTAATGCTCTAGTCAGAACCAATGGCTTTTGTCCTTGATTGGATGGTTGGGGACTGTGCTGGTTCACTCATCTGCCATAGCAAAGTGCCACAGACTCAGTGGCTTAAACAACAGAAATTTATTTTCCCACTGTTCTGGAGGCTTGAAGTCTGAAATCAAGGTGTTGATAGTGTTGGCTCTTTCTGAGGGCCATGAGGGTAGGACCTGCTCCAGGCCTCTCTTTTTGACATATAAATGACCATCTTCTCTCTACCTGTCTTTGTTGTCTGTGAGTATTTATATATCTAACTTCACCCTTTTTGTAAAGAGACCAATCATATTTGGTTAGGGCCCACCATAATGACCTAACCTTAACTTTATTACCTCCAAATAAAGCCATACTCCAAGGCATTGGAAGTTAGGATTCAACATCTGAATCTGAGGAGGAGGGGCACAATTCAGACCATAAGAGGAACTAAGATTTATCATTACTGAAGTCACCTTGGAGTATTTTCATCCCTCAGGAGAAGTATGAAGTGGGAGGCTATTCTAGGTTTTGCTAAGTTAAATATTATAGAGAAATACATAATTCTTAGAAACTTTTGTTTAGATGATTCCATTTAGCCCAAGTATTGGCACAGCCCATTCTATCTTTTTGTGCTTATTAACCTCTGTTGGACTTATCCCACACAAAGCAGCTCTTAGCTTCTTGATTATTTACTGTCATTGTTGCTGCTGATGGTCATAGTATATAATATGGTGTTCATTTAGCATATCTGGCCTTTTCAAATTTCCTTCCAGTTGCTGTTTTCTAAGTACCATCTATTAGAAGGTAAACAGTTCCCATGAGAAACAGCAGTTCCTAAATCTTGAAGAACCTGATGCTCTTCTTTTTTATTTCTAAATTTCATAAATCAATCCTAGTATAAATTCCTAACAAGTCATACCCTGCCTGACCCTGAATTCTCTCTCATAGATAAGCATAGACAATGGATTCCCTTCAACTTCCTATAATCATCTGCACATAGAATTTCTTAGCAAAGAAGAGAAAATTGTTTCAAGACTTTCAAATAATAAAGATCATGGTATTCCATTGTGTAGATGGACACAACAGATTACTATGCAGCAGAAAGAAAGAAGAAGGAATTCCTACCCTTTGTGACAGCATGGAAGGAACTGGAGACTATTGGGCTAAATGAAATAAGCCAGTCGATGAAAGACAAATACCATATGGCATCACTTATAAGAGGAATTTGATGGACAAAATAATGAGAAAAACAGAACCAGAGACATGGAAATAGGGAACAGACTGACAGTTCCCAGAGGAAAGGGTGTGTGGGGGGAAGGGAGAAGTCTAAGAACAGGTATGAATGACCCATGGACATGGATGGACATGGATGGACTGAAGGAGTGGGGAATGGGGCAGGAGAGAAGAGGGCAAAGAGGGGGATATTGAGGCAATTGTGATAGAATACATAAGAATGAAGTAAAATTTTAAAAATTAAGGAAATAAATTACCTTGGGGGGTACAACCTACACCTTGGTAACTCTACTCAGCTCTGTGTGGAGCTGGTACCTCATTAATGCTTTAAAGAAAGCTAATGTTGCACGAAGGATCAGTACTGACTAGATCAAGGGGCCATGTCTTGGCACTGAGATTAAATGGAATTTTCTTTGAGAGAAGGAACCATAAAGAAAAAAGGTCAGAAATCATCAATTGTATTAAAATAATTTAAGGGTTTTACAGTCATTCCAGCTAGGTATGGTTTCAAAGAATTTGAAGCAAGGATCTGGGATTCAATCTTCACCTGATTAAGGTCTCATCAGATTTGAGATGAGGTTTTAGTAAAGGTCTTCCATAGGATGGAGCCATATTGGCAGTACCTTGTTTTAGGGATTCTATTTTACCTCTAAGTTGTTGGGGGGTTTTGTATAATAAGTGCTTTAATTTCTTTCCTAAGTGTACAATTGAAAGCAACATTCCTGTGATTTGAAACAGTTCAACTTCTTCAAAGTACGATTCTAAATTTCTTTCATAGAATCCATGGTCACACTGAAAACAATAGCATATACTTTTTAAGCCTATGTTAATATACATTGTTTAGTAATCTTACTAATTTTCTCAGAGTTGGGGTTTTGCTTTGTACTTTTGTACTTTGTAGTTTGCTTTGTACTTATTAATATCTATTTTTATTTGTTTTATAAAGCCTTTGCTCCTTAACAGAATTTTAAAGGTGAGGGAAGACACATCAGAGAGGCTCATAATAATCTTAAAAGACACACTAGGAATTGCAGGCTTCACACTGACACAAAGCAATGTGATTCAAACTTGTACACAACATACACAAAGCCAAGTGATACTGGGAAACAGATCATTCAAGACACAAGGTAGATTCCAATTCTGTTCAGAAGGCAACATGATTTGTTGGTTCTAAAATATTTGCAGCTGCTTTACTTTCTTAAAAAGATAAAAACTAGGTTGAGAACAAGTAAAGAAAGTTCTCAACATTGGCAAGTGAACCTTTAAAATCATAATAAGATCATATTCTGGACACCAAGCCCAACATCCCATTATTAGAAAACCATGGCTGTGTCTGCATGAAGTAATCTCTTCACTGAGCTGTATTATTTGGTTCTAAAATGTTCAGTCCTGATGTAATACAATTTGAGTCTCTTTGAAGATGAAAGCATTTCTAAAATAGAACTCTTTATTCCTATTACTCTATACTTTGATCATCCTTCAATCTTTTTCACCATCAGCTACCCAGCGGCCTAGTTCAGAAATCTAGGAAGCAGCCTGATTCTTCTTTTTTTCCCCACAAGACATTTAATTCATGAGCAAATTTGTTGATGTGGATTGCAGAAGAAAATAAGGATGCACTTGTGCCTGCTGCTTTGACCAAATCTTCACTTTTCTTGGTCAGTCTGAGGTGATCTGAGGGTCTTTTACAATTGTCCCTTCCCATATTCTGCTTCTAAGGGAGATTGGAGAAGTTTTACCAAATCTCTGTCTCAGTTCCCTAGGGAAAAGAAACTTTGGAACTCTAAAAAATGCATTATTCCCAACATTAGTCAGTCCAAGGAAAGCTCATTCTGCAGTTGGCATAGAAGCCCAAGCAATAAGAAAATCAAATTAATGAGTGATTTCCAAAAAGCACTGTTAGGATCACTGCAAATTCCATTAGCTTTTCTTTTAACCTTTCATATATGGGTTTGTTGTCATGGAAACAGTTTCTGCTAAGCTGGCTTTAAAATTAATTTAATGATTGGTGACCCTTCTAGCTAAATGCTAGCTAATGAGCATAGAAATGTGTGTTTTCTTCATTTCAAAAAACCAAACTCACTTTTTTCCCTTGGAGATTAAAACTCATGCCTGCCTATCATCTAAGCAAGGCCTGTACTCACACCTATCACCTCTTTTTGCTACATATTTACTCCTATATAATTGCAAATTTGTCTTTTCTTCCTGGAAAGAAATTCAGTCATTGAGAATGAAGACAAGACTATAGCTATGATAATGATAAGTTACTAAATGCTCCTGGAAAATTCTATTAAAGAGGCAAGGACGTTTTGAATGCACACTTTCCAGCATATTGGTTACCTGATTTTTCTTTTTACAGATTTGTGCTACTGTTGGCAATTACAGCATATCTAGTGTCACAGATGGCACCTCACTAATATTGTATATTTTGATGAAGTGAGAAGCCTCCATTCAAAAAATAGATGTTCCTGGTTAGCATTGCATCATACGTGATCAGGCTATGAGAGCACATGGGGTTGTCATAAGAATCTTAAAGTACTTTTATTGCTTAACCACCCAAATGATCCTGTTTGAAAGGGAGAAAATAGAAGTAAGAAAGAATATAAGATCACTTACAATTTACCAACCAGATTTGAGCATTTTAACATTTAGAGATATATCTATACAAAGTCTGTCTGCCTGTTTGTCTGCTTTACTCCCTTCCTATTATATTATCCACTTATCTATTTATCTACATTCATATGTATGTATAGATATGTATATTTAAGATATCAATGGGCTCATGCTTTATATATTATTTTGCAAACTGCTTTATATATTGAGGACTTTTTCATGTAGACTGACAAAATAGAGACAGAGGACTTTAAAATTCATGATTCTTATTGCTTCCCAGTGCCTTATGAAAGCCTGATACAAAAAAGAAAAATGTGCATTTCTATATACACTTATTAAAATATTTTCCCATTTTTAACCAAGTGGGAAGGTTAATAAAAGCTCTATGATCAAAAACATGACTACATAAAAAGCCCCATGTTGCCCAATTTTTTGATACACTGTTGTCAACCCTGATAAACCCACCTGCTGGTGGGCATGGGTTGCATTGCCTTGCCAGACCAGGGAACTGAGGGTTGATCGGAAAGGGCAGACACCGTTGTGTAATAATGCAGGGTCAATAGCAACCTGTCTTTATTTGACATTTTCATTGTTTGTTTAGTGTAGATATTTTTGCCTTAATTTCTATTTTTAAAACATTGCCTTAAAATATTACTTACATTGATTGCTATTTTGATGGGATCTTAAATTTTGCCCTTGAGACAAGCACCTCACTTGCCTCACCCAACTCCTGGCCCTGAGGCTCCTGAAGGGAATGCTAGAGTTGTTGTTTTCTAGACCAACATTTTCTGATGATTATATGAGGTCTTAGTGATTATCGAGAACTATAATGCTCAAGAGTGGGTTGGCCCATTAGGACCTGGGATTTAAATGTCTTATATTCCTAGAAAGCTAATAGAATTACTTCAAGAAGTTTCCTTACTTTCTAGAGAAGGTATAGACTATGAAATGCTGGATATAGAAAACATGGAGTGGCTCCAAGTTGGTCGGGTTTGCGGTAAACTGAAGAATTCATGACCTACTTAAACACTC